TTTGTGATTTCTTACTCCCCACAATGTTCTCTCTTTCCTCTTCTCCTGCTCTCTCTCCATTATCTCTTCCTAGCATGTTTATTAATTAAAACAAAGTTCAAGATTCAGTTAGCTCATTTTAATTTTCACGTCTAATATCAACACTCAAGAATTTGAGGGGTCATTCCTAGAAATACACTACTCTCTTCTATGCCTCTGTGGCTTTGAAGACGTCATTCCTCCAGCCTAAAGTGTCTTCTCCACACCTTGCTTGCATAGTGAACACCTACAGCCCTACTTTTCAAGGCCCCCCAAAAATGATACCTGCATGATTGCAATGTTAACCGCTCCCTGATAGTCTCCAGTAGGAATCTGTGCATAACTCCATTAGCATTTCTCACATTTAAATTGCAATTATTTGGTAACATACGTGCCTCCTCACTAAGGAGGAGGTCAGCAACTGGTGTTTTGCATTTTCTTGTCCCCAGTACCTAGCAGAGCACCTGGCAAATAGTGCAAGCTTAATAAATGCCATTGAATAAGAAATTAATAAATTGATCTGTGGCATGAGGATTGACTAAGTTATAAGCTATATGTAGAAAGGTGATTAGAGTGACAAAGAGTGTGGCCACTCCTTAGCATGTGGACACTATGGGATGGGAACTCTGCCTGAAGTCACATGCATCCCTTCCAGGGCTGGTCTGAAGCTTTAGCTAGAGTGAACCAAGAACAAGAGAGGGGCTGATCATCTCCTTATGAGGAATATAGGGGAAAAACATGCCCCATATGTGGTATTAAAGAGAAACTGGTAAGCTTCCACTTTCCATAGATGATTTTAACTTCTTACATATTATCCTTCAGTCACTTATTTGACCCCCATCAGTCCTATCTTTCACCCTCTGATCTGAGGTTTAATGTAAGAAAATACTGATGAGTGCCTCTCCAGGTAGGGTTGCCATACTCAGCAAATGCACAAAATGCCCAGTTAAGTTTAAATTTTAGCTAAACAACAATTATTTTTGTACAAGTATATCCTGTGAAATATTGGGGACATACTTATACTAAAAAAATTACTCACCGTTTATCTGAAATTCAAATTTAATTCGGCATCCTGTATTTTATTCTGCAGCTGTTTCTCCAGTTCACTTTCTGTCAAGGGTTAAGAAGGCACTCTGTACCTTGCACATTTGATACATCAAATTAAGCTAAAACAGAGGTGAATGATACGGGTTAGATCTTCATTCAGAGGTCAATAGGAAATCCAGAGACTAATGGGAAAAACAGAGAAGACAGATGAATCCGTGGACAAACAGGCTAGTGGCTGCAGGCTTCCTTGCTTGACCCAGGTTTTGTGCCAATAGCAGCAGTGAGCACGTGCCAGTGCAACATAATGTAATAGTTAAGAGCACAACTTTGAAGTCATATGTCCTAAGTTCGCCTCCTCGCTCTGGCTAATACATGATTTGTAACCCTGAGCACATTACTTAACTTCTCTAAGCTTGAACTTCCTTAGATAAAATGAGGATAATAATGGTAGCCTCCTAAGAGCTTTGTTGATATGTTGCATCTAGCTCAATACTTGGCCACGGTTAACAAGATTAACATATTATTACTATTATTGGCCTTAATGCTGCTTGAATGGCTAACTGTCACTCCCTCCTCTGAGACAACCCAAGGTAGAAAAGGATAAGATGAGATGGGATGAGATGGGATGGGATGGAATGGAATGGAATAGAATAGCAACTCTACCATTTATTTTTCACTTAGTACTTACAAGGCACTATGCTCACTGTCTGCATGTATTTTCTCATCCAGCCCGCATAACAAATCCAAGAGGTATCATTATTCCTTCTTGTAGATACTGGATCTAAGGCATAAAGAAATTAGGAAATATTTCTAAGGTTATACTACTTGTAAGTGGCAAACCTGAAACTCAAACCTAGTTCTGTCTGATCCCAAAGCCCATGATTTTAACCACCAATACACACTTCAAAATCTCTCTATGAGATTGTCAATCCCAACTGCAATTCCTTCCTACCCTGAGAAAGAACTCTGACGATTTCCACTTATACATGTGAATGTCCATAGGAATTAAAGCATTCCATAATCCTTTCATTCTCACACCTCTCTTACCAAACTAGAATGGCGTTCTGGAAGAAGGTCCTCATCTTCCTCTTCCCAACTTGGTTAAAACTCTCTCTCAAAATCTCAGTATCTCTTCTACCTAAAGTCAAATTCATTTGTTTATGCCAATGGAAGACAAGTCATAGGTTTTTAACTGTTATTAATATGGCACACATTAAAGGTTCTTTATAGTTTATCAGGCATTTTATCTTTGTTATCTCCTATATCCTTCAAATAGTGCAGGTAAATAGGGAGGAAATTATAATATGTCCCAGTTTTACTGATGATGAAACTGTGAATTAGAGTGGTATTAGTAATTTGCCAAAGTCACATGGATAATAACTGACAGAACTAGTACATGTGTCCAGGCTTCTCTTCTCAAAATTACTCATTAATTCACTTATTGTGCACGTATTTGTAGGGTATCTTATATGTGTAAGGCACTATCTTAGAAACCAGAGCTGTCTCAGTGAACAACATAGACCAGAATCCTTCTCTCCTGAATTTTAACATCTCTTGGGAAGGGAGATATTAAATAATCAAACAAAAAAATAATACTTAAGGGGCCGGCCCGTGGCTTAGCGGCGGAGTGCGCACGCTCCGCTACTGGCGGCCCGGGTTCGGATCCCAGGCGCTCACCGACGCACCGCTTCTCCAGCCATGCTGAGGCCGCGTCCCACATACAGCAAGTAGAAGGATGTACAACTATGACGTACAACTATCCACTGGGGCTTTGAGGAAAAAAATGAGGAGGATTGGCAATAGATGTTAGCTCAGAGCTGGTCTTCCTCAGGAAAAAAAAAGAGGAGGATTAGCACGGATGTTAGCTCAGGGCTGATCTTCCTCAAAAAAATAAAAATAAAAAAATAATATTTAAGTGCTAAGAAGGAAGAGTGCATAAAAGATTTTAATAGAGGGATCTGAGTTGGATTAGAGGGACACAGAAGTTTTCCCCAAAAAGGAGACATTTTGGCTGAAATCTGAAGCTAAGAGGAATAAACCAAGAGAATAGAAGAGCTAAGAACACAGTAAACAGAGAAAACTGAGTGTCAGGCCTGGAGGGTATTTAATCAGGGCCACACAGTGAGTTAGTGATACTGACACGAAGAGAAGCCAGCTACTGTGACCCTCGGGATGGTGCTATTTTCTTGACCCCAGTCCAGTGAAAGCAATTGATTCAGGACTTGTCTGCTTGCCCCATTTAGCTGATATCCTTGAGTCCGACAGGCTTCTCCCCTAGGTTGCAGTATCCAGAGCCTTTGTTTGCCTAGATAGTGTTCTTGTGGTGAATTAGAAAAATATCCTCCCTTCTGGGCTGTTTAAGCCCTGAGGGCTCAAAGCTTGTGCAAAGCAAAAGGTACTGCTACCATTTTCCAGGCAAACACAGTGATATGCCAGGGTCCATGGCATGACTAAAAGAAGACCCTTGAATTATTCCCCCACCAGCTCCTTGGACAAGCACAGAGCTTAGTTCTAAGTAGTGACCCTGATGAAGTAAATCCAACTGGTTGAAAGCTTCCTACCGTGGACCACTGTCTACAGATCACAACCCTTTGTATACAAGAAACAGGATCAAGAGTCTTCTTGAGAAGATAGGTTGAAGTGGCCTGGGAAGGTCCCAGCAGAGAAGCCTGATGGTGTCCAAGTAGTTTGGTGCCTTGTAAAGAGTACTAAACCGGGACTAAGAGAACCACACCCTAGTCTTGGCTCTGTGACACTAGACAAGCCTCCTGTTTCCATACGTCAGCCAACTTCAACACTTATTAAAAAGGCCCTCTGACACCACAATGTGTAAGTTTTGTTCAATCTATAACTTTAGGAACCCCCAAATCCTCATCCCAATTAACTGAAATTATAGCATTCCTCAGGATCACCATTATCATCTAGACTTGAAACAAATTTTATCCCCTTGAGTGTTGGTATCCAAAAGGAAGTGTATTTTATACCTGAGATACATGTTGTATCTCAAACCCAATATTTCTTTTCACTGAGTGCAATAATTTAATTATTCTTTTCTTTTTTTAATGTTTGCTCTATGCCTCAAGTAATATGTCTTCAACTTTGAAAAAGATAGTCTTGCCTCCAAGGAGTCTACAGCCTATTGGTGGAGACATTTAAAGAGGCACCTATCAGGCACAGGAGAAGAGCACCTAGCCCTGCCTGGAAGAACCAAGCTTCCCGAGGAAGTGAAGTCAAAGCTGAGACCAATGCCAAGCACAATATTAGGCTCCTTGAAGATTCAGAAGTGAATAAAACAATCTGTCCTTAAGATATCCATAGGTTTAAAGGAGAAGAGAGCTATGAAAGTACTCAAACAATAGTTCAAGAGTTCTATATGACAGATGACGGAGCAACCATCTGGAGTAGGATGCAATGGTCATCATGAAGGCTTCACAGAGAAGGGTGCATTGAAACCTGAGCCTGAGGAATAAGTAGGAATGCTCCAAGGGGAATGATGAGCAAGATATCCCAGGAAAAATAAAGAGCATGAGCAAAGGCATGGGAGTGTGAACGGGCATGTCCTTATGGGGACAAGTAATTAGCCCAAAGCATGCGAAAAGAAGCAGAGTGCACAGGGATGGAGGCGCCACACCTCACCAACGTGATTAATTGCTTGCAACTTGACATTGAAGAGTAATTCTGCCTGATACTCACCTAATTGTCAAGGCTGGCATTGGAACTACTCCAAAAGAGTTATTTCAGTGCCACTTATAAATTTACATTAGAAAAACCAAGAGGATATTTTTTTCCCTATATGAAAAGCTTTTGGTTTGAACGATAGGGCAGGGCTCATTAGTAGAGATCCAAGAGCAAGCTGTGCAGACATCTTGTGCAACAACCTAAATTCCGTAGTAGATGATGTCACCTGTAAGTCACCTATAAATGGAGCAAGGCGTCAGGTGCATCTAAACAATTTATCTGCACTGATACCCAGTGCTACAAGAATGGCTGTCTCCATGCTTCGGCTGACAATTGTCCTGGGACTGCTTGTCTTAATCCTGATGTGCCATGCTGGTAAGTGTTTCCTATTATAGCTTGTGCATTGTGCAGTAGTTAGCCATGATTGGAGGAAGTTGGTGGCACTGATCCAGAACATAAAGAGGAAAGAGGAGGAGGGACCTATGGGCACTGCAGACAAAGCACTGGACTAGGAGACGAGAGGCAGATCCTCTAGCAAGAACAAAGTAGGATTTTTATTCAAGTGTGTTTCAGTTACAGCCTTTATCCTCAGTGAATGTATGAAGTTTGGAATGATCTTTTGTCTTATATATTCATGTAATATAGTGACACTATTATATTATAAATTCCTTGAGAGCCAAAGTTGTTTATTTTTTGATGATTATAACTAATAGTGTTCAAAGGTGAAGAGTATATACTCTGGAAAAAGGCTCCTAGGCCTGGCTCCACCACTAATCGGAAATGGAACTTCAGGCATGTGATTTACGTCTCTGGGTCTCACGCGTAAAAGGGAATATCAATGGCTAACTTGCTTGTAAAGTTATCATGAGAATTGAATAAAAGAGATCAAACAAATTGGAAAATTATCTGGTCCATAATGAGCATCCAGTAGATATTAACTGTTATTGTTATCGTTATGTTATCTCATTAGATTCTCATAATGATCTTTTTAAGTAAATATGCACAGTTTTATCATTTCTCTTTTTGCAGGCTAATAAACCAAGCTTGCAGAGGAACGTCACTTGAGCATAGACCCATGTAGACCCAGGCACACCTGGCACTGAAACCTAGTCCCTCGATTCTTTCCATTCTAACTGAGCATCTACTTCTTTCATGTCTGTTCCAAGCACATACGGGACCACAAGGCAGCATGCAGAATTCTCATGAATCAATTTATTCTTGGTCTGCAGAAGACAGCGAGTTCTTGACTTGTATCTATTCAGAATGATAGGTCAGAAAATATAGACAGTGCACATGTTAATACCAGAGCCCTTTGAACTGTAATAAAATGTGATTTGGCAGAACTCACACCCTTGTCCAACCACTGTCCACCAGCACAACACACAGGCAGATGCTCCAACAGCGTTTCCGTAGAGACAGCCTCAGACCACCATGTCTACCTACTCCTAAAGCAATCACTGTGGTCAAGTGAAGGTTCAGATTTATATCCCTAGGACCAGTCCCAGCTTTGTCTCTCATGAACTCTGCACCTGGTTAAATCAGTTCACTGCTTTGAACCTCAGTTTCTTCATCTGTAAAATGAGATAACTATCAACTTCACCAGGTCAAATGAACGTGCTTTGTAATCACTTTGTAAACTATAAAAACTGTACAAATATCAGCAGTACTGTATTTTTTCAGAACTCCATGATTACATTGACTAAGAAACTCAACCAGGTAGTTAATATAAATAAAGGCTATCCCATATTATATTTGAAAAGAGAAAATATTCAACTATTGGCTTTGATACTTTTTCTAGTATGTCAAATTTCTTAATTTTTATTATTATATTTTTTGTTTTGTTTTCCAACATTTTCAAATTTATTCATATTTTAACAGCATTTAATTTTCATAATCTCCTAAAGCACTAAAGGAGAAAGCTATTATGAATCATTTTCTTGCTATTATTATTAATAATAGTAATAATAATACAGCAAGCATTTATGTGGGCTTACCTTGGATCTAGTACTGCAATAAGTAGTGTAGATAGGTAGATAGGTAGGTAGATAGATAGATAGATAGATAGATAGATAGATAGATAGATAGATAGATAGATAGATAGATATATGATATAGATATATGGATAAATGTATATACATCTACATATATCTGTATAGAGGGGTTAAGTATTGTAAGACAGGGACAGAGTGGTAAGTATTGTGTGCAGGGTTACATGGCTAATTTTTGTTGAAGACAGGAATCAAACTCAGGTGTGTAGGATTCCAAAACCTATGATCCATCACGCTCTAATACCTCTGAATATATATGTGGTCCAAGGGCTGGGGCCAAGGATCCAATTTTCACACATTCTCCAGTCCAGAGTTCCTTGCATATTGAAAAGCTAACATTTAGTGTCACATTAAAATAAAAGACCAATAAAATTAAATTGTTAATGCAAGTAGGCAGATAGGAACACAGGAAAAAGAAACTCACTTTCTCTGCAAGGAACCGCCGTGTTGCACCTGGCAAATGTCTTCAGGGAACAATTGCTTGAAGGTAGTATTATGTTATGTAAATAACAGGCTCTGTGGAGTTAAAAATATTTAGGCTCAAACCCTGGCTCAGCCACTTTCTAGATGTGTGATTTTAGGTGAGTCATTTAATTCCTCTGAGCACCTGTCTTCTCTCCTGTAAAACTGTAATAACATCACTGAACTGAATGAGGACGGAGGCATGTGATGAGAGCACCGGCCCAAGACCTGCACAATAAGCATACCACAAATAAGCGTTATCTTTCCTTCCCCTTCCCATGATGAACACAAAGCAATTTTTCTGGGCTCTGTGGGTGCTCTGCACTTTATGTCCATACATGTCTATTTTCATCTTAACTCTTAGCATATGCTATGTACATAATAGCAGGCTCAAAAAATACTTGTTGAACGAAAGAACCAATAGCTGAATGAACGAACACTTGGTGATGAGTATATTGATTTTGGTTAGAGGTCTCAGACCTCAGATCCTATTAAATCTTTTGTTGTGGCATAATGAACAATAAATGTTTTGAAATTTGAAAGTCGAAAGCCATATTTTTTCACTAAAAGTTTCTATTTTATCATACAATATAGATGCAAGGCTTCTAATGTAATTTGACAGCCTCCACGCAAAAAGCTAGTTACATCTCCTTCATTCAGAGTCATGGGTTACATTGTCTAGAAGCTTGGACTTCTTGAGTCAAAACTTGTAGTGAGGTTGTAGGATAAAATACAAGACACTCAGTTAAATTTGAATTTCATATAAGCAATGACAAATTTATTAGTTTAAGTATGTCCTAAATATTGCATGGGTCATTCTTACACTAAAAACTTATTTATCATTTATCTGAAATTCAACTTTAACTGGATGTCTTACATTTTTATCTACCAAATCTGGCAATACTACTTCTAAGGCTACAATAAAATGACAAATGAAGGTCCTATTTCATCCTGGCACCAGGGTCCAGAGGGGAGGCCATATGTAGCTGCTAACTGCCACTCTTCCCTTACTTTTAATCTCCTGAACCATTTAGACCACCAAGCAAAGCCAAAACCCCCCAAGAGACCTTGCATGTCAACAACCTTACTCTCTGGATCTTGGTCCTCATTCCAAAAGGCACTTGATTAAGAGTGAAGAGTAAGAGGCCTGCAGTTGCATTCCCATCTTCTTCTCTTGCTATTGTAAAGTCTTCTGCAAGTCACTTAATCTTTTTAGTTTCTTAGTCCAGTGATCTGAAAACTGCATACTCTATCAGATTGGTCAAGGGTAAAATTACACAGTATTTGTAAAATTATTTGCAGAACTATCAGATGATGTTCAAGTGACAGAATTTCTCCTTTTCATCATCATTATTATACTACTTTCAATCTTATAACACATTTGCAGTTAGATGACAACTTTTCTGTGAAAGACTATGCAGTTCATCACAGAGTGCTTAAGAATCTAGATTTTAATATCAGACATGAGATTGAATTCTGTTTCTGCCACTTAGTAACTTTGGGACTTTAAACCAGCTGCTAAACCTCTCTCAAATTCCTTTCTTTACGTTTAACTTGGATAATAATTTTGCCTACCACATAGGGTTGCTGTGAGAATAAAATGAGACAATGCATAAGACTGCCCGTCATAGGTACGTGCTCATCAAATGCTATCCATTATTATTTCGTTCTCATTATTATCATTACTGTGGGCCCAGGGATTACATGGAGAAAGAGACATAACACCAGGCATTATGTATTTCAGTCCTGGCCCTGGCATTTACTAGCTGCTTAACTCCGGACAAGTGACTTAACCTTCATGAGCTTCAGTCTTTTCATCCAGAAAGGGAAGCAATGTCTACCAAAAAATCAATCTGTTTCTTTGTTTTCGGGAATAAAGGAAGTAATGCATGTGAAGATTTTAACCAGGCAGGGATTAAATGTTTATTAAATGCAACTATATGAGGCTCCATAATTAGTGAGTGGGGGTATAAAAGGTTCCAGATGCTTCCTACAAAGAAAAGAGACTTCCTTTTCTTGTTGCTGAGAATCACCTCTGAGATTCCATTGTGTTTTTCAGACGACAAACCAAATGACAAGCCAGCTGAGTCAAGCAAAACATCAGAGCCAGAGTTCCCCAGATTCCTAAATCTCTTGGGCACGGAGATCATTGAGAATGCACTGGAGTTCATCCTCCGCTCCATGAGCAGGAGCACGTAAGCACTCAGACAACTTTGCTTTTGTCCAGTTTGCTATGGGTAATGACCGCATTGCATTAAAGTAAATGAGAAACAAAATCGTGGTATATGCCAATGTAATACTTTAATTGAAAAGTGTTGCTCTACCTTAACACATATTTGTATCTGAAAGGATTTCCCTGAACTCTTTTGGAGTGAGCACATTCCCATCAAGTGGTTTCATAAAATATTTTTTATCTCAACACCAAATAGGGAGGAGGAAGAGCATTGGACCAGGGACAGAAAGCCAAGTTCTGGTCTTGACAGAGGCGCTACTTTACTGGGTGATCTTGGGCAAGGCCTGCTCTCTCGGAGTGTCTCAGTTTGCTCATCTATAAAGTTAAAGGAATCAAGGACCCACCCAGTGCAGACACTGTAATTCTTTGTTGAAGGTGATGGGTAGTGGTGTGTTCATTAGTGATAAATGTGGTAAGTTCTGCCTTTATTTTCCAGTTTGAGTAACTCAAGAGGGTTAGCAGAGACAATAGCTAAACTCTCCTCCGAGACAATCTAGGGAACCGCTCATAGGAGCGCTTGCTTTGATCATGAGGGATTGCTTTGCTGGCAGCTCACACAACCCAGAGTCTTCCCAGTGTCTTCAACCTGCTTCCAAGCCCCTCTGCCCAACTCCTAATACGTCTTCCTCCAGTCTACATAGCTCTGATTTTTACTTCCACTTCACCCTGTTCTTCATTCTTCCCATATTAATCTCCCCAATTTCAGCTCTCTAGGATCCAATTAGTTCTTCTGATTTCCAGGTGCTTTCAATCTCCACTCTCTGAGCCTCTGCTGTCCAATTCTCTCCTTCATAGACCCCTAAGCAGGTTTGTGGTCTATTACCCACCTGCTTCAGAATTTCTGGGAGAACTTATATAAAATGCATGTTTCTTCATCTCATCTTGTACCTTCCTGGGACAAGGCTAAATATATGATTTTTAACAAGCTTCAGGTGATTCTGATATACAATAAATTTTGAAAGCCATTGATGAGATGCTCTGGGATACATTGCTGGGCCTTAAAGGTCCACACAACATTTAAATTTGTATTCACATTTTGTATAGATGTGAATCTTTACATTTTTCTATGCAAAGTGCTCCTGACATTTATTAGATTCTCAAAGGGGTCTATGATTAAGAACCACTTCTAGGGGCCGGCCCAGTGGTGTAGCGGTTAAGCTCGTGTGCCCTGCTTCGGCGGCCCGGGGTTCACAGGTTTGCAGGTTCGGATCCTGGGTGTGGACCTATGCACCACTTATCAAGCTGTGCTGTGGCGGCATCCCCTATAAAGTAGGGGAAGATGGGCACAGATGTTAATAGATGTTAGCCCAGGGCCAATCTTCCTCAACCAAAAAAAAAAAAGAGGAGGATTGGCAACAGATGTTAGCTCAGGGCTAATCTTTCTCAAAAAAAAAAACGAACCACTTCTATATAAGAGTAATTAGGGGCCATTTCGTAATCTCTGACCTGCTTAAATTGACATATTATCATGTGGATTGACAGGATTCTGTATACAATCCTCATGCACAAATTGTTGAAATGCACGTATGTTTACTTTTGTATTGTTATTTTTCCTATTGTGGTTGCTTTTGCAACTATTGCATTCCCATGGTTGTTAATATAAACAAGGAGGAAACTGACAAGCAAACAGTAACACCCATTATGTACAAAGTACATAGTTGACTCCAATTGAATTCATATGGTTATAAATCACAACAATAGCAAGGCAAGGAGTTGAAACAATAATAGTACTTTTTATTTCTTCCCTGGGGAATTCCCCAGCTATAAAATAGCACTTTTTTCTCAGTTAACCCTAAAAGTTGACTATCTAGAATACTAAAGAATTGCTGTCAACTCCGGGTTCAGAAATGGCACCTCACCTTCTATCATTTTCTTTTTCCCTCATTATATTCTGAGTAAATGATGTTCTTTCTGTTCTTGGAACTGGCAACCATCTCAAGCTCTCTGCCCTTGTTTTCATTTCTGCCCAAAATGTTCTTTCCTTTTCTCTTGGCTAGTGATTTGTCCTGTAGCTCCTCTAAAAGTCACCTCCTCAGAAAACGATTCTATAACTACTCTTATTAACACCATCTTCTTTCATTCCCTGGTTATTCTCTATCACTTTACCTTGTCATAGTGTCATTTAACATATATCACCATCTCAAATGATTTATTTATTTTTAATTACGTAGCTACATTCACGCATCGCTTAACAACAGGGACACGTTCTAAGAAATGCACCGTTAAGTAATTTCATCGTTGTGGGAACATAACAGAGTGTACTTACACAAACCTAGAGGGTATGGCCTACTACACACCTAGACTATATGGTACGAATCTTATGGGACCACCTTAGTATATACATTCTGTCATCGATAGAAATGTCATTATGCAGCACATGACTGTATATGAAAGTAGGGACCAGATCTATCTAGCTCATTATTATAGCACAGTACCTTGTAAGTCATATCACGCACTCAATAAATTATTGTTGAATTAATTAACTAAGGAAAGATATCTTAGAGATCAGATCTAAAGTCCATTTACCTCAATTTGACTGAGAGATCTTTGTTGAAACACACAGAAATCCTTGCTCAAGGGAACAAATCTAGCTGTCCTCTTTCTGTGTAAGGAAAGACCATAAATATCACGGGGGATGGGGAGTGGAAGGAGACCATGAAGAAGTATTCCTAAGTTCTTAATATGTACAAAGGAGGAGCAGGAATTGTAAGGAAAAATCCAGACTATAAATCTCTACTCCTCAAAGAATTTGCAGTCCTTATGGTAAGATGACATGAGCAAATGCAATGATAACTAAAATACTAAATAAGGTAAATGTCAGCCAAACATCACAGGTAATTTCTAGAGAAGGGGGCTGTCAATGAGGCCAGGATGCTTAGGCGAGTGTTTAGAGCAACGTTGAGATGCAATTTGCACCTTAAGGGACTCAATGAGATTAGAAAGAGGGAATGACAGGAATGGCGGAACTTCATAAAGATGGAAATTTTGCCTTATTTTCTCCAATATATCAGGCACATAATAAATGCTAGATACGTGCTTTCAGAGCAGTGAATAGACCCACTCACTACCTCCACTTGCCTTCTGGATTACCTCAGAGCTATGTGAACTGCAGCTGGTCACCATTGTTCTAAAAAATATATGTATGCTTAATTCCTCTGATCCCTTGAGAAGCCTCCAATTCTCGTGAATTTCCCCCATCCCTGGGTTCCTGTGACATGACATTTTCCTGGTTCTCTCCCTACTTCTAGCCATTCTTTTTCGTTCTTTTTATCTGACTTTTCTTCAAGCATCTGGACCTTAAACATCATTGCTCCTCAAGACTCCAAATGTAGCCTGCATGGTTTTTCATATCACAGCCTGCACACTGGGAATATTACTTATAATCTAATGAGTTCCAATTTCAGATGTCTCTTGCACTCTTTTTCCTAAGCTACAGACTGAAATGACTAATTGTCTGCTACAAAACCCCACCTAGGTTTTCCGTCAATACCTCAGATTCAACTGGTCTAAACCCAAGCCCATCACCTCACTTACAAACCTGCTCCTCCTCCCATGTTCCTTATCTCAGGAAGTCACATCCCCATCCATCCGGACTCCAGAAACCTCGAGGTCTGCTTGGATCCTTCCTGCTCGTCACCTCCTTCATCCAATTGTGGGATATTACACCTCTAAATTTTTTCTACACCATTCCTTTTCTTCAGCTCTGCTGACTAGTTGGTCTAGCTGCGTCCCCATCATCTCTTTCCTGAGCTCTTTTTATTAGATTCATAATTAGTTTCACTGTTTCTGTCTCTTCTCACTTCATTCCATCCTCTACCTACTACCAGAGTTTTATAATAAAAACATAAATTTGGTTCTATCACTGCCATGCTTGAAACCCTTTTATGAACTTCCTTTGCCTACAAAATCAGAGCAAATGCATTCAGTTGATATTCAAGGTTCTTCCCTGATGCCAATGTTTCTTTCAATCACACCTCTTATTCCTGAAGCCAAATACACAACTGATGCCCCAATGGCAAATGATTTCTGCTTCAGAGCAGGTCATGTTTGTGTAAAGCCCCCACATCTTTGTACATGCTTTTCTCTCTGCCAGCAATGCCTGACCCCCAAGTTCAACTCTACTCTGTTCACCTGGCAAGTCTAATCATTTTCTAAAGTCCAATTTAAAGACAAGTTCTGTGAAGATGTCACAGAACCCTACAATTAGAAAATTCAGGTATTCATACTCTGGGATTTCATAGTGCTTTGCAGGAAACTTTATATCAGTTTTTCCCCCCACATTATTTTGAGTTACTTGTATCTGAATGCATCTGTTTACTCCACTAGACTATAATCTCCTCACAGACCACATTTTAGTCATCTTTTACCTTCTCAGAAGTTACTCCGTACCCAATCCTTGCACAGCAGAGTATAGTAGTTCTCGGATTAATTCATGATTCTGGAGATCTAAGTTTTGGACTTTGCTTTGCATGTTACCAATCTTGTGACCTGGACAGGTTGTTTAATCTCTTTGAGCTTCAGAGGTTTTTTCATATGTAAAAAGAGATAAAACTTCATTTATCCATTCAACAAATATTAATTAATTCATACTATATGCCAGGCACTGTTCTAGGTCCTGGGCATATATTACTGAACAAATATAACAAAATATCTTGATAGAGTTTTATATGAATAGACACCTAACTAATAGAGTGTTGGCAGATTCAAAGAGATAATTATGCATAAATGGCTTTTCAACTATGAACTACTATGGAAATCTTAGATCTTACGTTTTATGACATAGGAAAATACGGAGAAGAAAAGTGTGGCTCAAACATTATAAGACACCTTAATGATAATTCTAACATTCCCGTTAAGTCTAAATCATAATTCATTTTTTTCTTGTCCTTTTCTTTTCAAGAGGATATGTGGAATTTGATGATAAACGAGGAGAACATTCATCAAAGTGACCTCCCCAGGTGATTTTAACTTACAGTTACCACTAAATAATAGTACATTGGACAAAGAAAAAAGGGTCTGTCTGATTTTACTTCATGAATTTGGCCTACCTATAAGCACAAAAGGTGTATTTTATTGTTTTTGTTGTAGTTGTTTTAAAATTAATTTTAAATAGATGTATTTTTATCGTCTTGAAGCCACTGACTTAATAAAATCCTCTTAAGGGAGGAGACACAACTGTGGGGTGAAACAAGAAGCCCTAGAACTTAGGAGATCTGCTCCTATCACAACCCTGCTAGGAACTTGCTTTGTGCAAGTCCGGCCTATGAAATGAAGGGATCGTAGGCACTAAAATCTAAGGACCCATGTAAGCAGGCAATTAGTTACTCATGAGAAGAGTGAGATTTGCTGAACCTAATTCCGAAAGTAAGGACCAGCAATCTCTCTAATCCCACACAGCCAGATTTATGTGCGAACAACATGATTTGAGTGCTCAGAAATACCTGCTCTTTCCTTATTCAGTTCTTTCCTGAGAATGGATACTGAAATACAAAAACAGAAATGTTAGAACTGGGAAAGTAATTACATCAGTACTAAACACGAACTTAGTACTTAATGTTTTAGGCATTAAGCTAAGTATTGTATATGTAGTACCTAATTTAATTCTAACATCCCTATGAAAAATAGATATTATCATTATTCTTAAATTTTATAAGTAAGGAAACAAAGGTTTAGGGAGATTCATTACCGTGGCTGAGTTAACAAGGGAAGAGAGAAAGATTTGAACTCAAGCAGCCTGATTCCGGAGTCTGTGTTCTATCACTAAGCGATAGTGCTACTGGAGAACAGGGGAGAATATTACAGGAGGAGGCAGTAGAAAACAGTGACTAAGCTATATGATCTTAGGCACACCTGAAGGTGCCCACAGAAATAAACACTTCCGCTTTGGTTAGTTATCTTATACGCATCTCCACGAGTCATGGCCTTTCACAACTTCTCTTTGGTATCTGGTCTAGGAATGCTCCTTTTCCCTACTATCTTCATTTCACAACTTGAGTTTGATTAGTGTAAGCTCAGAAAGTTACCATCACACCCAGGAACTTAGCCCACACTCTTCCATAAACTTCTAAGGGTGGAAATCAGGCTTGGGCTTTGGAATCAAGATGTGCCCAACCCAGACACTCCTGACTCTCACCCTAAAGCCAGCTAAGCTTCTAAAAACAGTCACTTACGTTTGCATTTTTCCATTTCCATGTTCTCAGGGAACAGCCTATCTCTTGTTACAGGTGTCCTAACCCTTTGCCCATTCAGCCTGCTGGTACACACCTCTACCCATTGGTACCTAGGCCCTGAATCCTTGGAGTGCCACCCTACAGGTTCAATGTATGAGATAGTCCAATAGACAAGGCAACATGAAGGAGTAGAAGGAGCAAAAGGCACAGAGAAGATTAAGTTCAACTTCTACCTTGGTCACTTATTGGTTGTGTGACCATGAGGAAGTCACTTGGCCTCCCTGAGTCTCACTTTATTCCTTGTTAATATTTAAAATGTTGAGGACTTAATTGTTCCAGATCTTAATGCCAGGATTTTTTTTAACTGCATGTAGAAAAACTTTGAGTAGATTCATGAACCAATTGTAGATACCCTAATGGGCAAGGTGGAATGGCACAGTCTAGGGATACAAAAAAAATTAGGCTAGAGAGAAGGAAGCCTTAAAAAGCAAAGATTAAATTTTGGATGGTTTGATCAGGAGTATCTCTTTAAACTCCAGTGACTTTGCATTTAATAAGTAGCTTTAAAAGTTGCATTCATATGATAATTGCCTCATCTAATCAAAAGCAAGTCATTACTTTAGAATTAAGTGATTCACAGCAATGCCTATTTCTCCAATGTAGAAAATTTGGCCAAAGTTCCAGGTACTGTATTTCCTAAATTAAGATAGATAGATCGATAGATAGATAGGTAGATAGATAGATAGATATCCCATCTTATTCCTACAACATTTGCCCTTTTTACATATTCCTTTAATGCTTATTTAATCCATGCTTATTATGGGTCAGATTCTGCCAGTGCTACCAAGATGAACAACACTGTCCAGCTATTAAGAAGTTTATAGACTGGGCTATCACTTAGTGCAGTACGCTCTACGACTGTGGAAGGAAACAACAAAGTTATGTGTAAAAGTGCCTTGGACATGCCTTGGAGAAAGAAGATAAGAGGGAAAACCTAGAGGAAGGGGTGGGCATTAGGAGGACTTTACAAAGAAGGTGAACTTCTGCATGCAATTTCAGATGATGCACAGAGAGGGGCAAGGTCTCAAAAACAAATCATCCAATAATTGGACACCTAATTAATCTGAGACCCTTCCAACCTCTGCTCAATCACATTGGCATGATTTCCTTATGTTAAGAGACTTACAACTTTAGCTCCTATTGTCCTGCATCACTTGAAATCATGGGGATTCAAGTCCCTCTGTGTCTTAAGTCATTTGACATCTTAAAGTATAAATTTCCTTTCTTGTGTTAAAAAAATAATCTGATGAACCTCACTGGACTTTAAGATTGTCAAAGAAGTAAGAGATGGGAAAGCACTTTATGAATTCTTAATTTCCATATACATTTTTTGAATTAAGAAAAAATATACTATGAACACACTACATCACGTGTTTTAGACTTGCTGAGTCAGAACTTCCTAGGGAGGAACTTAGGGATAAACGAATTTAATAGGAAATCCTCATGCAGCTGATGAACAAAACTGCAGTTGAGCAGGACATCCCTCAATATCCACTCCATGAAGTCTTAAGGGAAAAGTCTCTTTTAGAATTTAGAGCAAGAAAAAATGTGTCTTCCCCAAGGATTGCTTCCTCTTAACTTGGTCTATTTTTTACCTGTCTACCCAAAAACTCAAAGTGAAACTGATGACTCCATTTATCCTTATGTGTTTAACCTATGTGCATTCTCCCTTCATGCTTGTTGCTGATTCTTGCCTCATATATCTTACCTTTTCATTTTTGTTGTTGTTGCTTATTTCCTCAAATATGTATTATAGTTGATTTTATTATAAATCATCTCACAATTAAATTTTAAAGTGCATAAAAGTGCATAAATTTTAAATTTTAAAGTGCATAAAAGTGTTAAAGAATAGATTAAAAGATCTTTGTATTTTTCTTAAGTCTTAAGCCTGCTCTAGCTGGTAATTGTTTCCCTCTCTCTGGCTTGTGTTTCTAAGGACACACCTACGTGGCTCCAGAATAATCCAAGGGCAGCCAAATCCTGCTTTTCCAGTTCCTCTGCTTCACAAGTCCTCCAGGACAGAGGCCTCAGAGCAACTCCCAGCAAGTTCTCAGGATTCAGGCCTTGGCTTCAATCAAGCACAGCTTGTTGTGAACACCCTGACTTTGCCTTTTTGCTTCCAGAAGTCAGAATAAATGTGTCCTCTTCAGAGTCACATATCCTAGTTTATCGAGAAGATTTTTGTTGGTAGTAGTAATTCCTCCTAAGCATGTTCAAAGTATTTAACAATGCAAAAAAATATAAACTATATCAAAATTATTATTAGCCAGAATAACCAAAGAATGGTTCAAAATAAGGAAACTAAAGCCTAGAAAAAGTAACAAGTCCCAAGTCACAGAATCAGTAAATGACAGAAAGAGGATTTGAACCTGACTCCAAAGAACAAGCTCTTAAGCCCTAAAAATGTAGAAAGTTTCAGCGTTAAAGGTTTCATACACTCTTTTTGGAAGGTCTTTCAAAAATATTTGAGCCCACTCTCTTGGGCTAGAAAACTAAAAACTGATCATTTTTTTAAATTAACAAAGTTGTTGCTGTTCTGCAGAGTCTTCATTCTCCTCAACTAGCAGTGTGTCAGGGATAGAAGGGTCCTGGAAGAGTCTAGTGCAGCCTTTCATTCATTCTCACACTTCATGACACAAAGGTGGGTCCTCAGTGGCCATCACTGTGGTTCCTGCCCACTTGGTCAGAGAGGATTGAACCATTGTAAAACCTGACTCAGCTGAGCCGGAAAGATTCTCCCAGAAATATTTAATGCGGACAGTAAACAAGACTGAAATCATAGAGCCTGATGCAATTACAGCGCTCTAGTCTAGAATAAAAGATCTACGTGCTTCCATTACTGAGTTCTCGAGAGCTATCCAAGCACTTGGACTCCAAAAGCAACTCCAGTGTATGTTCAATAAACCTTTTGTTTGTTTGTCTCTCTTCCTATTTTTACTTAGCCAGAATGAGTCCTCATGCAGCATAAAGAAGCTTTAACAATATAGATCGCTAAAACAAAGAGTGAACACCTACTAAACATTGAAAAATACATATGACTTTCCACAATAATATCAGACAATCCACCCTCTGCATTTTCCAGAGACTGTGCCAGTTTCTTTTATTTTTTCCAGCTTCATTGAGATATAATTGACATATAACATTGTGTAAGTTTAAGGTGTACAATGTGATGATTTGATATTTGTATATATTACGAAATGATTATCATGATAAGGTTAGCTAACACATCCATCACCTCCATAGTTGCCATTTTTTTGTAGTGAGAACTTTTAAGATATACTGTCTTAGCAACTTTTAAGTATATAATACAGTATTATTAATTATAGTCACCATGCTGTACATTAGATCCCTAGAACTTCTTGATTTTATAACTGGAAGTTTGTAACCTTTGACCCCCTTCATCCATTTCTCCCATCACCCCCTCTGTCCCTGGCAACCGCTTTCTGTTTCTATGAGTTCCATTTTTTTTTTTAGATTCCAAGTATAAATGAGATCATACAGTATTTGTCTTTCTCTATCTCACTTATTTCACTTAGCATAATGCCCTCTAGATTCATCCATATTGTCACAAATGGCAGGATTTCCTTCTTTTTTAAGGTTGAATATTCCATTGTGTGTATATATATATATATACACACACCATATCTTCTGTATCCATTTATCCATAGATGAATAGTTAGGTTATTTCCCTGTTGTGGCTATCGTAAATAATGCTACAATGAACATGAGGGAACAGATAGCTCTTCAAGATAGTGATTTCATTTCCTTCGAATATATACCCAGAATTGGGATTGCTGGATTGTATGGTAGTTCTATTTTTATTTATTTATTTTTTTAATTTTTTTGGTGAAGAAGACAAGCCTTGAGCTAACATCCAATGCCAATTCTCCTCTTTTTTGCTGAGGAAGACTGGCCCTGGGCTAACATCTGTGCCCATCTTCCTCTACTTTATATGGGACGCCACCACAGCATGGCTTAACAAGCGGTGCGTCGGTGCACGCCCGGGATCCGAACCCGGGCACTTAACTGCTTGCGTCACAGAGCCAGCCCCTCTATTTTTAATTTTTTGAGGAACCATCATACTGTTTTCCCATAATGGCTGTACGAATTTACATTCCCACCAACAGTGCACAAGAGTTTTCTTTTCTCCACTTTCTTGCCCCCACTTATTATCTCTTGTCTTTTGATAATAGCCATCCTAACAGGTGTGAGGAGGTATCTCATTGTGGTTTAGATTTGCATTTTCCTGATGATTAGTAATGTTGAGCACCTTTTCATACACCTGTTCGCTATCTGTATATCTTCTTCGGAAAAATGTCTATTCAGGTCCTTTTCCCATTTTTTAATCCGATTGTTTGTTTTCTGCTAGTGAGCTGTATGAGTTCCTTACATATTTTGGAAATTAACCCCTTATCAGATATATGATTTGCAGATATTTATTCCCATTCTGTGGGTTGTCTTTTCATTTTGTTGATTGTTTTGAGACTGTGCTAATTTCACATCCTCTTAACCAAAATTGCCTAAGATTTCTATTATACTCAGCATCTGACATACAGACTGCCTCTCCCCAACAAATGTGACCTCAAAATCCCTTTTCGGGTTCTGAGTGCCTAATTTGTGCCTGGGCAATACATTTACTCTAACTAAAATAATCAGTGTAGTACCTATGTGTGAGAAACATGCCCTCTCAGAGCTTCTCTGTCTTTATCTTCATCTGTTTGTTGTACAGTTTGAAATCACTCTTTCAGGTGGGTTAAAAAAAAACAGGTGCCATATCTGTGCTGCATTTGGTGCACTGCTATGTAGCTGTCCAAGATCTCCAGCAATCTATGGAGATTCTGAAGATTTCCCAATAGCTTACAATGCACATTTCCTCTTCCTAGCCTTTGTTGCCTTCTCTTCCTACGCTCCATCAAGACCGGTCTCTGCAGCCAGCAGGAACACCTGTTTTTGAAGATCAAGAATCTCTTACATCTGCATAGTGTTTTTCCTTTATGATCCCTTCAAACTATTATCCCGCTGTAACCTCATAATCACAATACCATGGAAGTGAGCTGGTCAGGCGTTATTTTCTTCATGTGACAGGTGAGGAAACTGAGGCTCAGGGAGGCTAATCAACATCATGCCTAAGATAGCAGAGCTGGGAGAGGCTGAGTGGGAACTCCAACTGGGTTTGTCTAACCTCCAACGCAGTACTCCCCTGTGACACCCTGAGGACACAACTCACAGCATTGCTACTCTGTCCCCAATTCCAAAGTTCCTGCCAAGACATCAGTACTTGAGGGAATTTACGTCTTGTACTTTACAGAAACGCTGAGCAGAAAGAGTCCTTCTATTAAAATATAATTCAAATCATATTCAATTACTTCTGCTGCTTCCCATCTCATTCTGAGAAAAAGCTCTATTGTTTAATTTCTTTACACTGGAATTGAAATGGAATGTAATTTCCTTACAATGGCTAAGATCCTACCTGAGTTACCCATTTCTCATCTCTTCTACTACTCATTCCTTTGTTCCCTCCACTCCAGAAGTTTGTGATCCTTGCTCTTCTTTAAACACTCCAGGCATGTTCTGTCCTCAGAGAGTTATTTACTCTTCCTTCTGCCTACAATACCCTCCCTGAGAAAGCCACGTGGCTTGCTCTCTCTCTTCTTTAAGTCTTTCTCTCTCTCTTCTTTAAGTCTTTCTCAGAGATACTTTCATTGAGCACTCTGCTTAAAATTGCACCCTCTGGCCCACCATTTCTCATCCCCTTTGGCTGCTGTATTTTTTTCTCAATAGCACTCATCTTTTAACACAGTGTTAAAACTTTCTTACTCACTTTGTTCCTTTTTCTGCCTACACTCAATAGAATGTAAACTCCACAAGGCAAGGATTTTGCCTCTTTTGTTCAATGTTCCTGGTACAATAGTCAGCAATTAGAACAGTGTCTAGCAGAGAGTAACTGATCAATAAATATTTGTTGCATTCTGTATTAAGTAAAGAAGTTGAGATCATAGAACTTCTACCTAAGAACAAGATAGTAAGGATGCAAAGTTGAACATCCCACGGTTCTTGCCTTCAAGTAGCTCACATTCCTGAAGCAGAAGATATGAGCACATAATGAACCACACTCAGCATGATACAGTATAACAGAGGCACAGATATGGTAGCATGGGAATCAGGACAAAGAGTCCTTAATGCTCCCTTGAGAGATCCGGGAAGACTTTCAGAGGTAATAATATTTGAGCTGTGTCTTGAGAGATGAGAAAGGATTTGGAGACATGGAGAAGGAGGGGGAGGGCTATTCAACCACAGGGGACAGCTTAAACCAAAGAGCAGACTGTGACAATGCTTGCCTTTCAGGTATGGCCCTCAAAAGCTACCCAACTTACCTGGCTAGCAATTTCGGATGCTTTCTTAGCTCTCTGGATATGGAGGGTGTCTGTGCTCACCTGCATGACTTTCCCTTTAATTTCAGTCTCCAGATCTCTTTTATAGTCTTTCTGCAGAAAATGAAACTTGCAATTAAGGCTCTACAATAATTTGAAAAACTGTGTTGAAAAAACTGTGATGTCATTTTGACAACAGGACTATGGCTTTTGGAAATAAGTTGGACACATTTTTTTTATTTGTATAGAGCTAGAAAGAGTTTCAACTTGTGGTAGGAACGTGACTTGAAGTGATTTATTCATAAGTAATCAGGAGACTTTTTTATGCTAACTTGAATTAAGAAAGAAAACAGTTAGCCAAGAGTTGCAAAATTTTATATTGCAATACAATAAAGTTGATAAATTATAGGTTAATATATAACTCAGTTGATGAATATCAATAAAATGTGATTATAATTTTTTTTTTAAAAAAGCTACCTAAGATGGTTAAGGAACACATATCATTGGGACACTTCCCATGCTTGGTCCTTCAAAAATGTTGCCTCATTTAATCCTCACATCAAGTACAAGAATTGGATACTATCATCCCCTTTTGAAATAATGCAGCTGAGAACTTAGAAGTTTTAGGAACCCACCCGAGATCACCTAGATCCCTAACACTGGAAACTGAACTTGAACAAAAATCTATGTGACCCCAAAACCCCTGGTTTTTACTTCACCACTTTTTCAGTCTGTGATAGGATTTTCTTTTGTTGTTTTTGTTTTTGTTTTGAGAGGAAGGGGAATTTACTATCTGTTAACTACAAAATGTTTTCTTCAAAATTCCTCTTCAAAAATTATTAAGTGCATATGTTCACCAT